GGGGGGGGGGCGTACTCTTCCGTTCTGCATGCCTTTGCGGTTAGACCATAGACCACGCGTCCTCGAGAGGACGGAACATTGTTCCCACAGGACCCCATCACCGATGGCCAATCGTCCCGTCCTACGTGAAAGGGGGGGAAGGTTTCACCCTGGATGGCGTTTTTTTGTTGTCGGGTGTTGGGAGTCGATGGCGCCTTGTCGAGCAAATGGTGCATTGTGGATTGCGTGCGTTGCACACCGTGGGTTGCATAAGAGGCCACACACCCCCCGGACCGACGTTCAAAGCCCCGTTACTCCACTGCGAGGAGGATGCTCGCGACGAGACGAGGACGTTTCATCGCCGACATTTTTCGGCGCAGCCAGTCACTGTTTAGCCTCTCAGGAGTAATGGATGTTTGGTGTGGTATCTTGTGCAACCTACGGTAGGCATTGTAGGTCGGGAGTCGTGTTTCGAGGTGTATTCGGTCGATGTGCGTGCCGTTGAACAGTGCGACTGTCGGTGGCCTCTGGTATGCCTGTTGTCCAACAGCCCATGTTGCCGAAGTTGTATTGGGTAGACGCTTGAGAGCCGTGCGTGTATCGGGCATGTGGGTTCGTGTTCGTTTCGGAACTGATTAGCTGTAGGTCCTGCACCATCTTGCGGCACGCTCGTCCAGAAGGTCCGTCGACACCTAACCTGCTTTCCAGCTTTCGAACTACCACATAAACACTTGAATTTTGTTCACCCATATATACCCGCCCGCCCCCCACCCAAAAAGAAACCAACCAAAGACGTTGCGTTTGGCCCCGACCCCCCTCCCCCGCCTCTCCGCCCATTAATCCCCCGGCGCCCCCTCTGTTGCTTGTTCGCTAGAAACGTGGCTCGTGTGGCAGTGGTGGATTTCGACGTTCACCACGGTAACGGCACCCAGGATGTGCTGTGCCGGACCGAACACCCGGGCTTCCTTTACGCCTCCATTCACGCCTTCAACCGAGGCGAGGGCGAGAACACTTCTCAGGCGAAGATCTTTCCGGGAACCGGCGCAGAGGGGGAGGCGCACGGGAACGTTCTGAATATCCCTCTGGGCGATCAGGTGCTTGTTTGTGGGAAGTCCTTCCTTTGACTTGTTTTTATTTTGTGTCTTAGCCAAGGCTCATTGAAATTTGGTGTCGTCATAGAATCAGTACCCCTTCCGGGGTTATATGATGTATTGTACCTACCAGATACATCGTTCGTACCCCGGCTTTGACAATAGAATTGTCCCATGCCCAGCATGGATAAGCGTTGTAGCCATGCTCTTTTGTGAACACACAGGGTACGCGTGATCGATGGATTCTATGCCGGGTAGGATGCACGAATTTCTGTTCGCCCAAGTCTATTATCTCTCTCCTCCCAACCCCCCACCAACGCCATCCCTACCAAACCGTTCAATGAACCCAATCCTGCACTCGATTGCACAGCAGTATTCCTTGTATTTGGTCAAGCCACGCTCTTTCCGGCCCCGTATGAACCACCGTTTTGAAGCGCACTCGCCAACCAATGGAGGTCCTGTCGTGTCGTGAAGACGTTTTTGTTCCGCTGGGGTCCTGTCGTGTCGTCAGCTCGGAGCTTCGGTGATACCCTTTTGGCCCCACCAATCTGGGGAGTGCGCAGTGTTTTCAGTTGTCCACGCATGCCTGGGTTCGTGGTTCGATTTGGTTGCCCCCGCGTCCACTTGAGTGCCACCCTCTCCAAACCGTTCACGGAGCCCCCAAGACCATACAAGTAACATCACGGAGCCCCCCATTGCTAATGTTTTTTTTGTGTGTTGGTTGTTGACAGGTGCACCCCGCGGGTTTCCACAGCGCCACGGCAAGGGTGGTGGCCGCCCTGGACAAGTTCAAGCCCAACCTTATCCTCGTGTCGGCTGGCTTCGATGCTCACCAGGTGCGCTGTGGGCGTCGAGGCGTTTGAAGTAGTTCCTGCTGCTGCTGTTGTTGCTGAAGCTGCTGTTGCTGTTGTAGAAATTGCTGTTGTGGTTGTTTTTGTTGCTGTTGTTGGGAATCGAACATTGAACCATCGAAGCGTCTTTCGTATTGGCAAGTGACCTCTGCCCCAAGACGCCGGAATTCCTGCTACTACTGTACCTTCCCACCATCTCCAATCGCCGTTGCTGGACATGCACGTGTCTGTCAATCGAAAACCCTCGCAACTGCTGTGCTGGCCGCAATCGTGCAGCCAATGTCCCCAAGATACATACGACGGAGCCCCCAAATCGAAGCATGCGCTCCCTCTACAAGAGATGACCCCCCCTTCACGGAATACCAATCCACGTGCCCCCCCCCCGAACAACGTCCACACGTTATTTTCAGGCGGACCCATCTCACCTTGGCACACTTTGCGCGAGGGATTTCGAGGTCTTCACGAGGAGAATGGTCACAGCCGCGGAACGCCTGTGCGCCGGACGGATGGTGTCGGTGCTGGAAGGGGGTTATGCCCTGGACTGCCAGGCTACTGTCCGTCCGAAGGGCCACCTGTAAGTGGTGCAGTGATTTGTCGCTTTTTTTTTTTTTTTTACGGCTTCTGGTTGCCATCCTTGTAAAACGTGGCCTGCTACTGCTGAGCAGGCGTAAACGACCTGAGTGCAGAATTTTTTTGTCGCGCTTGTGGAGGTATCCTTGTGGGTTTTCGTGCTCTTTGTTCCCCCCCCCTCACCCCTCACGCCTCTGGTGGCCCTGGTTGTAGACTGGGAACAGGGGCAGCGTTTTTCGGCTTGGGTTGCGTCCAGCGCTTCCTCCGCCCCAAGTGCGTGCCACGATTTGGCTCGGATCGAGAGCTGTTTGTGAGGAGGGTCCGTGTTGCTTGCGCCGTTCACGCCCTGTGACATTCTCAAGCTTGAGATGTTCCATTCCCCCCTTTCTCGAGGACATCCTGAAAGCACAATTCCTCGTAGAACTCCTGCGTGACATTCAATCATGGTCCGATTTTCGTTTGCCGTCTGATTTTGTGTTGTTGTTTTTCATGCCACTGGCACTCCTACCACAAGAAAGACTCAGCCTACCCATGACAACAATGTTCCAGACGCATTCCCGAATGTGAGCACGGGCAAGGCGACGATGTACATAGTGCGAGAAAGCAAAAGCAACTACTCAATGAAATGATATCGTCGATAACTACTCTATAGTGTAATTCCATGTCAAAACTTTATTTTGAAAATCTGTTTAAAACATCTGTTTATAAAAACTCTACTTGTACCACTATTTTTTAACCCTTTCCTAGAACTCCATTTTGAAACTCTTTGTGATATTGTGTGTGTCTCTGTATGATGACACATGTCGCGTGTTCTTCACAGGCGACCCCCTTCTCCCATTGGAGGCGTCGTAGGGCGGGTGGGGAGGAAGGCAAGGGGCGCCGCGGCGGAGACCCTGGCGGACTGTGTGCAGGTGCGTGAGCGTGATCACACGGGGCGAAGAGAAGACTTGATCCCGAGTGTTTTTCTCCAATCGCACCACCAGCTGTATCGTCGTTAGGAGTGAGGGGGGTTCGTTCTTCGCTGTCCCGGCCAGCTCTCTTGTCTTGTCTTGTCTTGTCTCGCCTTGTCTGGAGCTGGAGCTGGAGCTGGAGCTGGGCGTTCATGAGCCGTGTCATGCTTGTCGCTGGTACCCGCGGCACTTGTAGGTACAGCGGCATGGCCTCTCGGGCACTTGAAACCGCGTCCGTCGTTTGGTTTGAGGTGTGCTTGGCATGTCTCCAACCGTTGGTGTTGGGACCCATGGGTCCGTGTCATGTTCCCAGCTCAGGATGTGCGGCAGGAATGCATTGCTGTTTTCCTTGAGTGTGGTGCGTGCCGTGTCACCCCGGTCTTGGCGCCCGTGCGGCTAGTAAAATTGAAGAACAGAAGTCGAACACGATTGTTCTTGACGCCCCCCCTCCGCCCGATCGTGTTCAAGATGCGCACGAAGGTGTTCGTTTTTTCGCGCGTGGGAGCTGCCAACGTGGTCGGTGTAGTATCGTCCTTGCGGAAATGGCCAGAACGTTTGGCCACCTAACTACTTGTCTGCCCTGTGCTCGGACGTACTTCCCACCAGTTCGGTAGGTTTCCAAGTCCTTAGCCGCTTCCTCCGGTGATCGGTTGTTTTTCTGCTACTTTTGCCCAACGAGCAAGTGCTGCACCAGACCAATTTTTCCTCGACCCGTATCGTTAGACCTGACGCACCTCCTGCTTTTACTGGTTTTGCTTTTCCTGTTCCTGCTGTTGCTTCCTCACCCTCGTCCTTTCTCATGGGCTGGCCTGCCTGCTTTTGCCGTTGGGCACCGGGGGCAGGCCCACTGCAAGGGTCTGGTGGATGGGTTGATTGGAGCTATCGACGACGACTAACTTGACTCGGACCGCCACCCCAAGACGAGGGGGAAAGCGTTCGCCGAGATCGCTCCTTGTTGCCTAAAGTACCGGGGATCGCCCACACAACCTGCGTGTCCCCCTAAACTCTTGTGCCGGTCGGGGCACAACCGTACATGTCGGGAGTCGATGCTGCTGTTGCTGGGTGTGTTCCGCCTGCTCGACGTTTTTCGTGTCTGTGTTTGTGCTGGCACCGTTGCTTGATTTTTCGGGGTGTGGAGGAAAGCAACTCAGCGGTAGGGTGACGGTTGACGGGCACATCGGACCCATGCACGACGCAGCAGCCAAACCATCCATGCAGCTTCTGACCTTGTGTAGTTCGTCGAGTGAAAGTCGTGAGCAGCCTGTCTGGAAGATGACGATGACGCCCGTCACGATGGGTCTAGGGTTGCCGTTTTTTTGGCTGCTCACTGCGGCAGCAGCGTGCTGTGCTCGTGGTTGTGCTTGACATATTTGGTATCGTTCGTGACCTATGACCTGCGGCAGTTTGTAGAGGTGCGGCGAGAACAACGCGCAACTGTCTATCCCCGGCTACGTAGGCAAGGCGGCGAAAGTCCTGCTTCCCTTCTCTGGATATGGGGCGCATGCAGCGTGACTGCTGTTTGTGCCATCTGAGTATGCCACGCCCTACCGGTGTCTTTTTTTCTCGCTCGTGGCGTGTCCATAGGCTCTTTGGTTTGCGTATTTCTCTCTGGTGTCAGCGTTTCTTCCCGCGAGTCTTTCCCTGTAGCGCCTGCTTTACGCTGGTGTTCATGGGTTCGTCCCTGATTTGAACGACCTAGACTACCGATTTGTGTCAGTGATCCGTTGAACAGTTGGTAGACAGATGAACAGTAGGTTTTCCCAAGAGTGGAACTGTAATTTTCAGCCATCGATGATTGAGTCGTTCAGTCTTGCTTGTGGAGGTGCCGTGTGCACTACCTTTCGTATTGTGTCGGTGGTTTATGCTTGGGTTTGCACACGGGCCAGGGGGTTGCGCCAGGCAACCGCCTCAGGGAACAACAAATCCGTCGCGGCCACTTTCGTAAAGTATGTGATAAGAACAGGCGCGCGTGGAGGTTTTGGGTGTGGGATATTGGTGTTGGGGCTTGTGTTTGTACTGTAGACCACAATCGCCCGGTGTTTGTTGTGTGGAGCTTAAGGAGTCTGGGCCGCGGTTGTGACGGTGACATGTCGATCGTCGTTCTCCCGGTCTTTGCCGCTTGCTTTGCAACCGTTTGGAGCATTGAATGAATCGAGGTTGGCATTACAGGCTCTGGACGCCCCCATGCTTTGCGGCTTTCTACGGTGGAGATTAGTTGAGTCAAGGTCTCCCAGACGCTCTTTTCATGTCAAGAACTAACCTCCCCGTTGGCCGAAATCCAAGCTCCCGGAACGACATTGATGCCTGAACGAGACAGCATGGCACCCGCTTGGCACCACGCCGTCCCCTAGGTGTACATAGCGATCGCTTCTCACACGACTAGCTAGCGATGCCCCCCGCCTACAACGAAAAAAACAAGTTCTGGTAAAAACATACGAACTATTACATTTAGCGTTCGAGAGCGAATAAGGGGTCCGTCGTGCAAGCACTAGTCACCTGGCGTTTTGGTGTATGGGTACGACATCCATGAAATGTGTTGAGGGTTGTTCGGAAATTCACAAAACGGCAAGGACGGGCGCAGAGGTACACACACAGATGGGCGAAGAAGGAAGGCACACATACAGACAAAACAGATAGGTCACACGTTCACCGACCACGGTGTGGTGGCCGTACCTTCCTTCGTCGGTGCACGTGTATGCATGTGTCGTCTATCTATCCCCTTTCTGTCGCGGTCTGCTCTCCTTCGCCTCTTGTCCTTACTGTTGCCCCGTGGTTCTTGGTATTTCACTTCACTTCGGTGAGGCACGCACGGTACCACCCAACACTGTTTTTTCGGGCGGGGAAGCCATCAGAGCATGGGGTGCGAGGATCAATAGCGGCAATATCTAAATCATTAGTACAGGTGTGGAAAATATCATGGCACAACCTGAGTCCATCGAACACCTGTCTATCTCGGACACCTTTACGTACGTATCCACTTACAGGTAGACATGGCACTTGTCCATTTCTGTACGGTGGAATATCAAAGTACCAGGTGTTATTTTAATATTTTTGAAGAGCCACGTAAACGCATAGACAATAGACTGTACCACAAGAAACGACGACGCTGCTTGCATCCCATCATGAAAACCTCCCTGACCAACAGACAGGCAAGCGGTTTGTCTTTCCTCTCGAGAGAAGCCTATGTAGGCCACCACCAAGGAATGAATGCAAGCACGAGGCAGACACGACCGCGACTAACCCCCCGAACTGCAACCAACCGCAATCTCTCATGTGCTGTTTTGGTGTTCATATCCCCCCATCATGACACACAATAACACACGTGTTTCAGACCTCATTCTGTCGTTCAGCTACTACTGTACCCTAGTTTTACGCATTTACGCATTTACGCACCCTGCAGAACAAGTGAGCCAATTCCCAAGTAAGCCAATTCCCATGACCAAGCCGACTCAAACTTGTATGCAAAAAAATAATAAGAGTAAAAGTATACGTGTAGGAGGATGTAGGCTCTCGTCACACCCACTCGCTCGAAAAACTGAAGGTCCAAGAGGTCACTGCTTAAGAGAAGACAACGGGTAAGGGGGGCAGATAGATGCGCCCCGGCACGTTGAGGGTTGTCATCCTCACCGCACAATCTCTATGCACACTTCTGTGACTTTCTGCAAGCGCAACAACAGTCCCCACCCTCCCCATACGTATGTTGTACAACTCGCGTGACGACTCATGCCGCCGCATCACTCAGAAGCTCGGTTCCGAGATACATCAACTGGATCATCCCTGGTTCTTTGTCGCCTCAAAGGATTTAGTATACAACAACAAAAACATAAAGACACGCCGATCGCCGACATACACGGAACAGAGGTAAGAACAAACAGCCAGCTGAGGCTTTACGCGACTGACAGAAAAAATAATACCATACGCAATGAGCCCGGCACAAGGGCTGCCTGCGCAATACAACCAACAAGCCAACCTCCCCGCCAAGAAGAAACCAATGCGGGTGGCTGGCCACAAACACCAAAATAAAATGAACCGTTCTTCGTGGTCCGGACGCGCTGTCATTCCTGTAAATGAAGTTCGCACGAACGAGTTCTTCCTAGAATGTATTACATAGACTACTATACGTGGAAAAATATGTCAGATTATCTTTTGTCCCGCCCCCATGAAACAAAACGCTGGCCTTCCTGTGTTCCAAAAAAAATATCCTGCAACCTTAAAGTAAACCTGATCGATAAAAAAGCACAAGTAGTTGGCGTATTTCGACCAGCTCCTACCACGACGTAGGACCATCACACAAGGATGAAAAAAAAAGGGCGAGGCACGCCAGTCTACCTTCACACGCGACATGCTAGATGAAGGCGAGACAGCAGTAATACGTGTTGGGTGCGCTCAACCAACAAAAAGGTCCAGGCCCCCTGCAGTGCGCAGCCCGCTCCGAGTTCTAGCCAGAGGGGCAATTAAATAAAAATGGCACCACCATTCACTACAGAAACACCTGCACTCAACGTCGGCGTTAATAAACAAAACCTAACTCAAAATTTCACAACGTACCACTACTACCGTACACACATCCACACCACTCAGTCAATCAACCAAGACAAGACAAGACAAGACAGCCAAGACACCATGTAACATGCGACTACCGGGGACGACACCGTAGGTAACGCGTTGTATTTACATTTCGCACGATGCGTCTGTCTCAGTTCCTGGAGCGGAGGAAAGGGCCACTCGTGCAGACGACGCGAACGGTTGTTTGCGTTCTGGTCGTGTTCGCTCTTCTTCCTCGTCATCGTGTTCACTCTTCCTCGTCATCATCGTCGTAGTCGACTACATCCGGAGACATCCTGGTGCGCCGGTATGTCACCTATTCAAAAAAAAAAAAATCGACCCGAAAATTTTGGCATGAGCGGGGGTATGTACTGCAGCAGCAGCGGTCAGGAATGGCGGGCGAGTGCGAGCAAAACAACGTCAACACTAAGGACTACCAATCGAGCAAGCAAGTTTTGTACCATGACAACATGGGGCAACTTGGACTACACACAGAAAACATCTCCCTTTGTAAGCAAGCACGCAGAATGGCGAATGGATGAAGAACGAAGGAAACAAGGACAATGACCGAGTAAACACTTGTTGTTTCGTCCGGGCGCCAGTTCTCCACGCCTTTCGGCACGTTTTTATGGGGACACCTCAGCGGATATCGCCTAGATACGGAGAGAGGCTGAGGCTGACAACGGACCCGCAGGCAAGACCAAGCGCATCTAACAACATATTCGCCTGATTGAGAGCGAAGTATCTGATTGAGAGCGAGAGCCAAAAAAATTGAAATTTCGGGTCCAGACGCCTCTTGCCATTTCTTGGCAAGTAGGGGACGGGCTATTCCAAGAAGCGGTGCAAATTGAAGGTCTCATCAGCAGCTTCGCGAGCATATGCGTGTCATCGTCATCGGATGCTGCAGCGAGGAGCTAGACAAGTTGCTAGATTTGCCCAGATTGGCTATTTCTGCTCAAACTGTTTCAGGGCGGTATCGCGTCGGGCGGTGGGCTCTGCTGTAGCTTCTGCTCCCCGCTGTAGCTCCACAACGAGAGACTCCCACAGGATGACCAGGGTAGCGGCTTGAAGCTACGGGCTAGCCCTTCAATTCAAGCTACACAGCAAGCTCCACCTCTCAGTGGTAGTCCGGCTACAGCGTATCGCGCAATCTCGCTCTCAATCAGATGCTACGCTCTCAATCAGGCGAATATGTTGTTATCTCTGAGCGGAAGCACTCAGTAATTAATTGCTGTTTGTTTTGTTGCCATACGCCATCATAAATGAGAAATCGATCCTAGTCTATCCCATCCGGAGTACAGCAGCAGTACCAGTAAATAGTAGGACTGGCGATCGGGATATCTCAGGTACGGCGGCCTCGCACCACTCAGAGCAATCAATCACTGATGGTGCACCAGACGACTACAAATAACACCTACCTTCAGCTCGGTGCCGGGATAACGGATAGTCTTGTGCCCCGAACGAACCGTGACAAAGACATCCACCTGTTGTTCCGCAGAAAGAGAATGGTCCAACATGTTGGTTTGTTTATGGAACACGTGAAATAGTCAACCTTACATGCATACAAACGCCGGGCGTTGTGGATGCTCGGCGGACTCATCCGCGGCAGGCTCTTGTACTCACGATGAATCAAATCCGGTAGGTACACGTCGAACGAACGAAGCTAAACCAGACAAACGTTCCTTGCTTCCGTCGTGCCCTTCCTTCTGTTTTATGCGGGACCTTCTCCTTAACCCCGCGGTTGGCAACTACAAATCCGGCCCAATTCACGGACGGATGGTGTGCACCATGTGATCGATGGATGTTGTTGTGACTCCCCGGACTGGCCTACGCATTCATTCCGTTGACGGACAAGAAAAGAATAGAAGGAAACAAGCGCACCTGCACCACCTCAACGGCGACGTTTTGGTAGATCTCCGGCCAGAGCTCGTTCATGGTAGGGAATTTCACGGCCACGTAGACGCGCTCGTCCTCCCCCACCTGCCGGTAGCCCATACATGACATGACATGACATCACGTAGTATGACAGGGAGAAGAAAAGTGGCGAGTCGGGTCAGTTGTTTTCGATAGGGGAATATGAGCATGAAGCAAAATATGACGTTAAAATTTTTTTCTGTAGTGGTAGTGGCGACCGTTGCTGTTTCGTGGCGTTCGTTCTATTGTCGTTAATGGTCGTTTCATTGTCTGCGGCTGGCTCAGTTGATGTGCGCGAGTTCGGTGAGGCGCTGCGCAGCATCATTGAGCAGAATTCGAAGAAAACGAGAGAACTCGTTTCACTCCGAAGAGAGGAAATGCTACTACTACTGCCACAACAACGAACGGCAGTTAATCGTGTTTCCTCTTCCGCCTCTACCTCCGGGTGGTCGTTTCACGGACAACAGTCAGCCCCCGGACTGCAGAGACCGCCAAAATCATGTCGAGGTGTTACTACGGAAATTTGAGCACATGGACTTGAACGGTACAGTTTTTACAGGAAAGCCACAACGGGATGTGAGCACATGGACTTGAACGGTACAGTTCTAACAGGAAAGCTTTCAGGTCAACGGCGAAACAAAAGTAGCACCTTATACCTGCATTGGACCGGCGGCTCTCGCGAGCGGGCGCCCAGAGTTGATCGAGAAGTAGACGGTGGTGGTCAGATAATCCAAGTCAGGGCCGGCCCCGACCAATCCCGTGAAGACGAGGTGCTGCTCGAGGCTGCCGGACATGAAGCACGCCGCCAAGGCTGAAGAATCGACTGATTCCTGCGGGTGTGCCACCGCACGTCCGTGGAAGTCGCACACCTGGAGAGAGTTAAACACAGAAGAAGAAGGCGACGCCATGAAGTAAGCAAGAAACTCTCGTTTTTTGCCCGACGCCCGCTCGTTGTTATTTCCTCTGTGGGGACACCGTACATCGATTGCAGTATACATGTATGGGATGAAGTGTGGAGGATTTTTAACTTAGCACCCATTTTTCTTGTGGTCAGGCTACGGTGTACTACACTCCGTTCAATATTACCAAGCACATACGTTTTGCTTAGCCCACAGGTTCTTGAGTGGCCGCGCGTGCTTGTAGCACGAAGAGAAAAAGCACCACCGTGAACCAACTCTTCTTGATCTATCTGCAGAGCGCCTTGCAAGAAAGCTATGGTATCATATCATGCGAGGTTGGACAACTTGTGTGTCACTGGCTGGAAGCCCCCAGATGAACGCATACACATACGAGAGAAAAAAAGAAAACACACACATACACGTTGAGACTGACGGCCTATCATTGGTCAGTCGGTTAGCGAGGCCGATGCTAACAAGAAACACACAACACACACAAGCAACCCCCTAATGGGGTCCTAGTTCATGGCGTTCAGAAGTGTTTTGAGTTTTCAACAGCACTGAGACTGACGTCTTTTCATTGGTCAGGCGGTTAGCGCCGTCGATGCCAATAGTAAAAACACACACATCCCACACGGGGTCCCAGATCATGGCACTAAGAATAATTTCGTGTTTTCAACGACACTTAGGCTGGGGTCTGATCATTCATCGGCTGGCGGGGGGGGGGGGGGGGGGGGCANGGCAAACACCGGGGGGGGCCGGCTTGTTTTACAACGTCGTTGCCAAGCGACGAAAACCCGACCCCGATGGCAAACACCGGGGGGGGCGAGGGCGGTGCAAATACAGAACGGGCCCGCAATCAAGAAAATCATGCTGATTGAGAAACAAAGGCTCAACTTTTCACGAACAAAAAGAAAACAGGGCTAAGAAACTTCGCTCAATCTCGGCCACAACAACATAGGGGTGTGTCTTATCGGCAGAATCGAAACTAGAAATCAGAGTCGAGTTTCGATTGTAAGTCTAGAATGAGCCAGCCAAATTCGACCTACGCGTCTTATCGAAAAATCAGCAAAAAAACTAAGGTTCAAATCGAGAACACGCCCGAACGGACGCCGAACAGCCCAACAGTCCCGACAAGCGGCGTGGGCCACCTACGGGCAACGGTTTGTCGTTTTGCACAGCACTCGCACAATTATGGCTCGCTCTCCTCCCCGCCGTGCGGGCGGCCGCTCGTGGCAGCGAGGGAAGACGAAGAAGCGAATGAGGCAGCTCCTGGAGCTGGCGATGTTCCCCAACCCACCGATGGCACGAGTGGCACATGGATCCCGATTCCATTTGCTCGGCGCACGCCCTTGGCAAATCGGCAACAAGTTGAACCTGCCGTCGCCGTTGACCTTCTATGACATCATCTTTCTGCTTGCTTGGTGGGCGTGCGTGGTGTAGCGTGTGCAACCCGCGCGCACGTGGCCNGCGCACGCCCTTGGCAAATCGGCAACAAGTTGAACCTGCCGTCGCCGTTGACCTTCTATGACATCATCTTTCTGCTTGCTTGGTGGGCGTGCGTGGTGTAGCGTGTGCAACCCGCGCGCACGTGGCCGCGCAGCGTGCGAGATGAAAAACGTCAACCGCCGCAGCACGCTCCCAACAGCCCAACGTCCACCCGAAGTTGGTTGCGTTTGGCAAAAGTCGACTCCAAATTAATCCTCTGGCCATTTTTTCGAGATCAAGTTTAAGAAGAGGAAGATCCGTTCGCTTATCCCGAAATAATGCATTCCAACCAATCAGAGCAGATGGACGCTGGCTCTTTCTAGTCTTACACTGAAACTCGATCCTGATTTTTAACTTCGGTTCTGCCGATAAGACACACTCTAAGAAACGTCCCAACAAGGAACATGATCGTGCAATACCCCCCACATATATATAAGAATTAAGGGGTTGCTGGGGGAGCGCGTCCAACAAGAACAACCGTTTTTTTCGCGGCGCGCCCCGCGCCCCAGCGCCGCCGCGGGCTGCGCTATACCCACCAGCCACAGCTGCTGTACTGGTGTAATGTGCTCTTCGCCAGAAACAAGAAAATAAGAAAATAAGAGAATCAGCAGGATGCGACCGCTCAAAGGAATAAGAAATCCATTTCAAGAAATTGAGTCGACTTTGGCTGGTCCTTCTGCCAAGAATAAGACATTGAGGCTCGACCCGATTGTGACGTTTCTTATCTCCGGGCCCGTTCTGTAATAGACAAACACAAACAAGCACAATCGACGGGATGAAATGGAAGCATGCAACGAATATACGGTACCGTTATCAGGCACGCTTTAGCGAAGAGAGAGCGTTAGGGAAGAGAGAGAGGACCGGGAAGAAATCGAACGACATCGTCATCAGCGAATCACCACTCACTACTGTATGTAGTCATATGAGTTGTCAAACATGGGGATGGGACTATTTAATGTTGTACGTACACGGGAAGAGATTGGAAGCAGGAGCGAGGACACTGACTTCTACTGGACAACACATCCTTGCGCGAATTATATGCGATCACACCAGATGTGTGAGAGAGAGTGGTGCGTACATGTGTACACGTATGTGTATTGTAGTAGCAGCGCGTTTTTTCCCCTGCTGCACACACTAAGCCGCCGACGCGCAAAATCGTCGCGCCGTGGTTCCCGAGTCTTCGCATCAATGAGCCCGATGCACTGGAGGTGATGCAGATTCTGTCCACACCGTTCGGCAGCAGCGACAGGATGTCTACGGAGCCGTTATAAGTCCTTCACTAGTGCAAGCACGCACCTTGCAAACAAACGCGCCGCCGCTTGAAGATACGAAGAGGCCTGAGAATAAAATGAGATGATTTGGTCTAATCCTTCAACAACCTAAATACCGTGCGTTGGGTTACGTAACAGAAGAAAATAATAATCAGGAGCCTGACTTTGGGCAGCAAGCAACTACTTTATAAGGCAGACACGCACTATTGTCTATGCGTCACTACTGCTATGCGTATCCCCTACAGACCCTATCTATCTCGCCGTCTTCAGTGCGTGAAAAATAGTTTAATACTCCGTCTCCTACGTGGCTCAAAATATAGCCCCGCACCGCACCACATCGACAAGTTTCAAATAGAGCCACCAGGTATGCATTGTATGCGGCGCCGAAGGCCGTCGAGTGCATGTTATGTCAACCTCTTGGCTCAAGCCCAAAGGTACATAACGATTTCGGACACGATTGCATGCCGCAGCTCTCAGGTTGCACGCGGCACCTACAATCTCGTGTAGCTACCCGCCTTTGATCGCTGTGCTGGAGGCAGTGACATCCCGGGTTGAAGTATCCGTGTACCCATTGATACCCTACACCCTGGTCCGGGCGGTGCACCGGCAAGTAAAAGTTTTGCACGTTAAAACTGCTGTCTGTCCGTTGAGGAGGTCGTTTCCGTTACCATCGACGACGGCTGCTCGAGTACCGCTGCCAGAGACAGCTAGGGGACGAAGTCCGGTAAATCGATGGCGTTGATTGATTTTCCTCTCGGACGAAACAAAGTAAGCGGTCCGCGAACACTGAACGCGCCGCGGGTGGTGGAACACGTCTCATCTAGATTCGCGCTCTCTCAAAAAGTATTGTTGTGTTAGCGAAAAGTACCCTTCACCGCGATCCTGATGATGCCCTCGCTGCGGCGCTGCACTATTGTGCTGCGATGCGCCGCGCTACTGCAGTACGGTGCGGCAGAGAGGAGGAGCAAGCTGCAAACCTGCCACAACAACAGAATCAGCCGCTTCGCTGACGTTATCCCCGCTGCACCCAAGAAAAGTTCACATCCATGTATCTGTCCCTTGTGTCGGCACCCATCTAGACTAGATATCTATGCACACCTGCGAGCACATTCAGCAGTCTGTCAGGTCTCGGTAGGTAGTAGTCCGTCCGGGGGCGATTGCAGTACGTGTCAACGTGGCGGCACGGGGTGGTTTGCTGTCTGCTGTAGCGGAGATGTAGGAGGGCAAGAGAAAGGTATGGCGGATGTGTGTGGATGACAGCAAGGCCTCGTGGTTCAGTGAGAGCTGGTTTAACTGCACACCAGTCCATGCATGCAAGAGGTCGCATCTCTCTGCTGTCCGAGTACCGTTGGAGAGTATCCAAACATCATACGGTATGTGAAAAGAAATCCAACAGAGCATAAGTTGCATCTGTATTGCCAACCCGTTCATGCTATGGTCTGCAGCGCTCGGGGAATCTCGACGAAGCTATGAATGAAGGGTCTGGACGCGCGGTAAGGGTCGGTATGCGGGTGAACCTGAGGATGGCCACCGATGGCTGTGCCACACAGCGTACCGGCATCTCCGACATGGCTCCTGGTGTTGAACGGTTCGGATTTCCTCCCTTCCGCCCGAAAGAGGCGGACCCAACGGAACCCGCAACAGCCCCGAACCGTTGCCAATCAAAGATTCAGAATATTCTAAGAATTTTCTCTGGGTAGAAAGGTTTTGGTTGGGCGTACCGCCCATTCCCGGTTCCCGAACCTTTACTCGCGCCGGGGTGTCCTTTCGGTATGTCCGCCTAATGGCCTTTGGAAGATTCATTTGCTAATTTCGCCATGGGGCACTCAGTCGAGGCTGCTGCAGGGCAACGCGTTCGAGGTGCATGCGGCACAGAGCAGCGAACAGGGGCTGTTGCGTGGTACAAATCCGCGAACGAAGGCTCCACCCAAACATCCAGGGAAAGAGATGGTTGGAATTTGAAGACGGATCAACAGTTTGTTCATACGAAGCGTTCACAAAACGAAATTATTTGCCAACCGGATTAAGTGGGTGCCAGAACGCGCTCGCGGCTCGGACAGATTGTTGCCGACACTCCGCTCTCTCTCTTGCACCAACGAGCCCGTCCATATGATTTGCCTACCCGGCGAGTGGGTATGTGACAATGCTCCTGTTCCTACCTGCTGCATTACTCCACCACAACAACGACCTGGTGTGAATCGTACGTTCTCGCACCACTCTGTATCGATCTGGCCACGCATCATCAGCATCCTGTAATTATCCCTATGTATGCAATTCTCGAGGAAGCTTTTACGACACCTTCCGGGACTACGGTAGAGTATTCTGATAGCATACACGCAAATCGATCGTATGTGGGTACCTATCCTACAGAGTAGATGTGCCAAATGCCCAGTTTCGTATGCATACACATGTACATTTCATGCTCGGTACCTGCACATCGTCCTCTACCACCCCAGAATACCGTGATACCGGACAACACACGACAGTTTCCATCGGTAAGAGATCGGTAATGTCTACCCGCCCGCCGGATTTATCAAGTCTGTTGCTGTAGGTGGTGGGTATGCCTCCCAGGTGCGTTTCTCTCTCCTTGTGCGTTTTTGTGTTTCGTCCAATGGTAACGGGCGCCTTTACAGGAATGAATGGTGGAGCGCGCCTCAAACAAAACAAACAGCTCAACGCTGTTTAGCAACATGTAGCCTTCAAGTTGTTGTCGTGAACTACTGACTGTACATCATACGCATACGCATCTCTGTTGAAGTTCGCCTGGACACACAAAACCTGACAGCCCTTCATGACGAGGCATGCTCACTCCCCGCGACCTGGACCCAGCAGAAGCAAAAAACCCGCCATTACCGCTACTCGACACCGAAACCTGCTTGGCAAGAGTGCACGTCGTTCCCCGCATCAACCCGAACGGGGGGGGGGAGTTGGGGTGTTGGATACGAGCTGCCAACCCCGACGCAAATTATGGCTTTTCTCACCGTTCTCTACCTGAAAATCTCCATAGGCACGCGCCACTTACCGTCGGACCGATGTTTCCTCCGGCGGTTTTGACAACGCCGTCATCACTTGAGTCGATCGTGAACCGGCTGTCAGGTCGTGGATGCTTGGGAGCGATCTTCTCTCGATCGACTGCATGCCGGCAGGCAGCGAGCGTTTGATGTCTTTCACGCGGATCATGGGGGATTGTGAACTGTATGGCCACGATTTCCTAACTCTCGGCAAGAAGACCGATGGAGACACTCACAAGCCGACCCGCAAGGAAAAGAGGTGAAAACCCGGGGTCGTGGCCGTTTCGGCCGGAAGTTGCGAAAAACTCAGGGCGCGTATGAGACCGTAAGGGTCGTCGGTCCTCTAGTGGTATAGCAGTAGCCACATTGTTGTTCGTAGGCGCACGGTTCGTGGGGTGAGATCGTCAGACAGCAGTGGCAGGGCGGCGTGTGGCGGCGTACCTCGCGGCCCGCGCAAGAGGATGTGGCATCACGAGGGGGCCCGGCGGCACCCTCCTCCAGCTTTCGTTTCAACCTGACACATGATTATTTCGCAGGGAAAATTTTTACGAGTGAGCGAAATTTTCCGGCTGTGCTGGCCCCAAAACTGAAACTAGTGGAGGAGTTTCTCCTGGCGGTGAGGCTGTGATGGTGAAGGACCTCCGATATGAGGGAGCGCTGGCGTCGGAGCAGCTAACCGTGTTTGGGTGGAGGTGGTTCCTCAACCTTCCCTGTAAAGAGTGGAGAAGAAGCTGGTCCTTTGCACAACCCGCCAACGACGCCTGCAGGCGACAGCGCAAAAAAGTGAGTGTCTCACGGCTTGCTCTCTCAACAACAAATCATCACCCCCGGACATAAAGCTTCCATTGGGGAGGCCAGGAACTCGTTGGTATCTTGCGGGGCACTCCCCAGACACACACGGCCACAAACGTTTCCGAGGACTTCTCGCTCCGGAACCCGTAATGACGTGACGACTCTTGGGCAAAACATGTTTACGTATCTCCCAGCAAACAAACATGCAAGAAGCCGGAGCAGGAAGATTGGAATTGGTCATGGTATTTGCGGCGGGGAGATGGCACCCCCTCCGAAGCCCCCCCCTCCCATTGCCAAAACGAATTGAGAACGCGTTTCCTAATATTGTCGTTGTCGGCAGGGGCACCGAGATGGTCGTCGCTTTAAAGCATTGCTAATGATTTAAACGGAAAAATGGCAACAACAATAACAACAACAAACAACGAAACCGACAATCACTACAACAACAACTACAACCACGACCCAACACATCATGAGCAGCAGCAGCAGCAGCAACTCAGCAACAACCCCCTTCTAGGCTGGCCTCACAGTCTGGCAGGTACTGCAGTCTCACCATGACAAAAGTTCCAGACAGAAGAAAACCGAGAGGACGATGTATCAACCGTTGCCGCCTATCGCGTTGCTTGGCGTACAAGTCTTCACGTGATACTCGTGGCCGTGCGCCACAGGCATAACCCTCTGCGAAGGTGTACCGATTCAGGAAAAGTCAATCGACGGATACCCTGCGAATCGGGTCCTCCTTAATACTCTCCACCCACAGAATTTACCCTCAACTGGGAACCTGTTGTGGCCAGGATGGGTAATTCGATGGAAGGAAGTGTGTCACAAGGTTCTATGTAGGATCGACTCCAAGAGGTGTTCTCAGGACTGACACACATTGTGTCCATGGGAAAATATCCAAGTCAGGAGAAAAAGTGTGCACCTAAGGAGATTCGAACCACCAGTATCCAGCTGACGCCATGTGCAAAGGTGTACCGATTCAGGTAAAAGTCAATCGACAGATACCCGGCGAATCGGGTCCTCCTTCTTAACACCTCCCACCCTCCCCACAGTTCGTATTTTCTGTACTGGGCTATGCTAAACAGCTCCGGTGTAGGGGATGGCACAAGACGGCCAATGCCGAAAAAAATCTTTGCGTATGCCAAACTCACAAACGAAACATGGCCTGCAATGTGCTTGCTTCAGGTCCCTGCCGTGTTTGCAGCCGTATTGGGTGGCTTCACTCAAGTGGTGCCTCACACAGACACTCCAATATTCCCCGACAAACTCAAGGCGTCCAACCCCCTCATTTGATAAAGTTTAACAAAATACCTGATTCAATCACCACTCTGTCTGGCACCACCGCACGACTACACATCACAACACATGCACTTACACCGCCATTGCATCAACATTATCGTAAAACCCATCTACGTCCGTGCAAGGATGAGGTGGATGTTTTACCAAACCCATTACGACCTCCTTATCGTGTTTACTTTGTCTTGGGGTCTCCAAAGTACGACGTCGTCCGCAGGGGTTCTGGTGCGTCGGTACGTAACCTGTGTTGCGGGACAAGGAGAGAAGGGGTGCCAAGATGGGTAGACCGGGTGGGTAGGGTTGATAGCCAATGGACCGTCGAAAGTGCCGGGATTTGCAAGGTGCATGGGGAGGACAGGAGATACGATACGTCATCGTGCAACGAGGCTGGCTGTCTCTGTTGCCTAAGGAGCGAACTAGGCTTTTGAGTCTAATGTAAGATGGGAATCCGTTGAATCTTTCAATTTCCTAGACGAAAAATCTTGTTTACAGGGGTAACGTTGAGGTAGGCCTCACGTCGGTCGTTCCAATTTTTTTTTTGTATAAGACTCACAAACATGTGGCCTGTGGATAGGAAGTGGAAACAACATCCATGCAAGAGCCAAGTTGGAAGAAGACCACATGTACGTTAAGCTTGTCGTACCCTATTCTGAGGTGCCGAAGGGGTGTAGCCTCTATCGTAGCACTACATTTCCTGGGAATTTGAACCGACGTATATCATTGCCGCACAGCAAAGTGGTAAGAGTATGGGTTGGCACTCAATCACCTTCTGGTCGGTGTCGGGGTGGCGAGTAGTTTCGTGCCCTGATCAAACCGTAACATAGACATCCACCTGTGTATCATCCAACGACGAATGACGACGGCTTAGTTCACGTTCGTTTGTGGGAAGGGTGCAGACAGATGCCGGAACGGGTGGGCGGGGGAGAATGCATACGAGCTCCGGAGGGGCACTCGACGATGGACAGCTCCATGCCCGTCCATACACGATAATCTCAACGCAACACGGAAGGCGCATCGACAACCTTATATTGACAATGTCAATCGTCAATCGGCGAAAGCTTACGTGCGTATGTTGAGGCTTTTCGGCTGGAAAAGCAAGCCTGGTAAAGCACAGCGTAGGATTCTCATTGACATTCATCCCGTCACGCTGATACTTGATATGACGAAATCATGCCATACCTGCACGACTCGGATGGATCTATTGTTGTAGATCTCCGGCCAGAGCTCGCTGATACTGGGACACTTCACTGCGACGTAGACGCGCCCGTCTTTTCTCACCTGAACACAGCCGGAAGGAAGGAAACGCCCGCCTACATAGTCTAATAGTGAGGCGTTCGTGAATGCAACATCGGAGCTCAACATTAAGCTTTCGAGACAATTATGACAGTTGGTATTGAATTCACCACCTGTCCGCTCGTAAAACCCCTCTGTCGCTGTCGCTCTAAATATCCCATGGTACTTGTACGCCCGGCAATCCTCGCGGAAAGCGCACGGGTTGCCAGCCTTGGACTAATGCAATCCCCCACCTACATCATATGCATACCTGCATTGGACCCCCCGCCCTCTCCAGGCTGTGCCCAGCGGTAATCGAAAAGTGCACGGTGGGGGTGAGATGTGCCAAGTGTGGACCAGCTCCGTCCAATTCCGTGAAGACGAGGTGCTGCTCGCGGCTACCGGACAACAAGAATGTCGCCAATGGCGAACGGTCGACTGACTCCTGCGGTTGAGCTACCGCACGACCCCTGAAGTCGCACTCCTGAGAGGTGGTGTAGCAGCACGAAGTGAAAGGGCAGCATCATGAGCTCCAGGAGCACCTTCGAATGACCATATGATGACAACAAGGCGAACACGTCAATCAATGTGTCTGGGAGCAACGGCGTGTACCACCGCAGTTCGACAGACAAACATCGTCGCACCACTCAACTACATAGTATCCCGGCATCTACCCTTGTTCTTCTGCTGCAGCAGCAGTAACATCACGGATGGTGGTGCTCTTACAGAGCAGTCTTGGAAATGCAATGTTACAATCCATGATGGCATAAAACAAAAGCAGAAAGTGTGTCATAATTTGGATGTTGGCTCAGTGTCGTAGTTGACAAAAGCAAATAAATAGTTCTATATTTGAAGACTGCTGCATCAGAACGGCGGCAGGAGCGAGACGACGGACAGGCCAATAGAGATTCCAAGCTTACCGCGATGAGATCATGACCAGACACAAACAAGTCTTCCCGGATGCGACGCACGAGTTTAGTCTGTCCTTCCGGAACAACGTTGGCTGTAATTCCGTGACGATGCCCGAGGCGAATGACATAGCTACACAGTATTCATGTTCGTGTGTCTGGATACGAGCATGGTAGATCTGCTAGCAGCACGGGGGGGGGGTACGTAGACAGGAGCATGCGTATGCCTGAAAAAGGCTACTATGTGTGGGCCCCCTTCCCCGAATTCGGGAGGGCCACTTCTTCCCTTCCTTTCCTCGCTCCCGCGGGTGCCTAATCAGAGAGAGTTAAAGCGTGTCTTCTCCTCCCAAGTACGGACTTACCAACACACTAGTGTTTATTCCCTCGAGGGGGTCCATTAGGGATGGCGGGTCGCAGAACCGGAGGGACCACTCCGGACGGCTCGCAGGCAGGAGACACAAAGAGCAGTGAGCAGATTGACAGCATGCGGTCTGAGATCAGTTCGCTGACACAGCAAATGGGCCAGCTGGTGCAGCTGGTCGGAGGACTTGCTGCACGTATAGAGGAGAAGTCCGGCGGTACCACGGAGGGCGCCGCTGAAAGCGGCGGCGCCGTGGAGAGCGTCGCCACAAGCACTGCAGGTCATTTTGGGACCGTGCAGTACGACGGGAGCGCGCAGGCAGCGGACCTGCGAAGAGAGTCTGGTCCTTCGGGACGACACAGCGGCGAAGTAGGGGGTTCAGACCCCCAAGAGGTGAGAGTAGCCGCTGCTCACAATCAAGCTTGTTTCAGCAGCGCCATGGGAAGTGGTGCTGCTGTCT